CATGGGATCTGCTGAGCCACTGGATTCTCTGCTGCCTACGTACAAAAAGCTTTCCACCAACCAGGTTCTCCACTTCCTATGCACAAAGAGCTTTCTACCAGTCATCGTGTTTCCTTTGCAACAGTGGAGAGCCTCTCTCGTCTTCCTCTGCTACAAATAACTCCTTTGTGTCTCTGCCAAGCCCCCAGACCAAAAGTGGCCTGGCCTGGCTTCTTTCTCAGCCACACTACTCATCTGGCGGCATGGGGGAAGCTGGAATACAACATGATAAAACTTGTTTGCCAGAGTTGCCAAAGGTAAGTCTGTTTTGCTTCCTTGTTTGCAGCACCCTGACAAGGTCAGGTGGAAGCATCTGGCAATAAGTGACTCACTCAAGGCTGCCTGGTGAGTCAGCATCGAAGGCTGACAAGGCTTAGGAATGCTGATGGCTGGGTCTCACTGTCACCACAAGATCATGTTTTCCCCTGGTTGCCCTAGCAAAGCTGCTCTCACGGGTGAATACAGCACAGAAATATCTCCCATAATGAGGATTTCCCACTGCAATTCTTGGCAAAGCTGAATTGCTGCAGATTTATGAGCTTCCGTTCAGATCTTCTCTAATTCCTTTTTTGAAACCCCATTACCTCCATCTGTGTTGCCTTTTGCATCAATCAGCCATTTTTACTTGATGGGCTGTTTTTGTGTTTTGTTTCTTGCAAACTCCAATAGAATTTCACCAGCTGAATTTTATAGACTCCTTCATTATTCATATCTTGTGTGCAAACAAATGCAGCCTGCATGAGGAAAAAATACAAATCAGCATAATTTTGTTTTTCTAAGAAAGCAGAGAAGTTCTGTGTTCTACCCAAAGTAAAGCAGTTTCATTGCTAAAAGCAGTATTAACTGACAAAGATGGTAGTACTGCAGCAAAATGAGTCAGAAACATCGCCCAGAAAATCTTCTTCCTGCCCCAGAACTGATTATTTTGCAGCTTCCATTTCAATGGCATTCAGTGGCTGCAGGTTAAATTCAGTTTGATGCTGAAGAATGACCAAATTTAAACCTTAAATTTTCCCTCCATAATTAAGGGGGAAGAAGGTCTTTCCTCACCATCTAGCATGGCTCCTTGACAGAGCTTTAAACTAGACTTGAAGTGGGAAGTGGATAATGTCAGGCTTGCCTGTGACAAGCTGTGGGATGACACACCAAGGTTAGAAGGACTGAGTGCTAGCAAGGGCCTCAGCCAGCTCTGAAAGGTGCTGTCTACACTGCAGCCGACTTGAAGCCTTACCGAGATGAACCAGGGGCTCCTGGAGTGATAGAAACCAACAGGGAAATATCTCAGAGGAATTAAGGGGTGTTCCTCTAAGAAGGTGACGTGGCCAACAGCCCAGCTGAAGTGTCTCTGCACCAACACACTCAGTGTGGGCAACAAACAGGAAGAGCTGGAAGCCACCATGCTGCTAGAAAGCTACGACCTAGTTGCCATTACTGAAACTTGGTGGGATGAGTCCAATGACTGAAGTGTGGCTACTGATGGCTACAGGCTGTTCAGAAGGGACAGGAGAGGAAGGAGAGGCAGAGGGGTTCCCCTCTGCATCAAGAGATGGACAGAACGTGAAGAGCTATCTCTGAAGAATATCCATGAGCAAGTTGAAAGCCTGCAGGTGAGAATCAGAGACAAAGGTAAGAAAAGGAACCTCATGGTCGGTGTCTGCTACAGGTCAGCTGACCAAGGGGAGCCTACTGATGAAGCTTTCCTTCTCTAGCTACAGGAGGCACTGTGCTCACAGGCTCTTGTCCTGCTGACTTCAACCCCCCCCAACATCTGCCGGAAAAGTAGCACAGTGAGTAGCAATCCAGGAGATTCCTGGAATGCATGGAAGATAACTTCATGAGACAGGTAATAGACAGTCCTACCAGAGGGGATAAGATACTGGATCTGATGGTTACCAAAGCAAGAGAGCTAATCAAGGATGTCAAGACTGGAGGCAGCCTGGTCTGAAGTGATCATGCACTGGTGGAGTTCGCAGTCCAGAGGGATATGTGTCAGATAAAGAATAAAATCAGGACCCTGAATGTTACCAAAGCAAACTTCCAGCTGTTCAAGGAGTTAGTCAATATGACCCCCTGGGAAACTGCCCTCAAAGACAAGGGAGCAGAACAGAACTGGCAGATCTTTAAGGATGCTTTCCAAAGAGCACAAGAGCTCTTGATCCCCTGATGTAAGAAATCAGGTAAGGAAGGCAAAAGATCGGCACAGCTGAGTCAAGACCTGCTGGTAAAACTAAAATGCAAGAAGGAAATGCACAGGCAGTGGAAACAGGGATAGATATCCTGGGAAGGGTAGAGATAGGCAGTCCAGTTGTGTAGGAATGGGGTTAGGAAGGCCAAGGTGCAGATGGAGCTGAACTTGGTGAGGAATGAAAAGAATAACAAGAAGGGCTTCTACAGATACTTTAGCCAGAAAAGGAAGATCAAAGAAAATGTACTCCAATGAGCAGGACTGGCAAACTGGTAACTGGAGAAGGCTGAGATAGACAACAACTTTTTGCCTCAGACTGCCCTGGCAACCTCTCTTTCCACACTTCTTGAGTGGATGGACTGCAAGATGGGGACTGGAGGAGCAAAGTGCCCCATCACCGCACATAAAGATCAGGTTCATGACCACCTGAATGTACATGAGTCCATGGGACCTGATGAGATACATCCCAGAGTCCTGAGGTAATCGGCTGATGTAGTTGCCAAGCCACTCTTCACAATATCTGAAAAGTCATGGCAGTCAGATGAAGTCCCATCTGACTGGAAAACACTGTACCCATCTTTAAAAAGGGTAGAAAGGAGGACCCTGGGAACTACTGACCTGTCAGCCTCATCTCTATACCTGGGAAGATCATGAAACAGACCCTCTTAGAAGCTATGCTAAGGCGGAGGACAGGGAGGTGATTTGGGACAGCCACAACAGCTTAACCAAGGGCAAGTCCTGTCTGACCAACCTAGCGGCCTTCTACAATGGAGTGACTACACCAGTGGACAAGGGAAGAGCTACAGATGTCATCTGTCTGGACTTGTGTACAGCCTTTGACATGGTCCCCCACAACATCCTTCCATTTAAATTGGAGAGAGAAGGATTTGATGGGTGGACTATTGGAGCAGGTCCAAAGGAAGGCCACCAAGATGATCAGAGGGCTGGAGCAGCTCTCCTACAAAGAAATGCTGAGAGAGTTGGGGCTGTTCAGCCTGGAGAAGAGAAGGCTTTGGCAAGACCTTATTGTAGCCTTTCAGTACGTAAAGGGGGCTTATAAGAAAGATGCAGACAAACCCTTTAGCAGGACTTGTTGCATAGGACAAGGGGTCATGGTTTTAAGCTAAAAGAGGGTATATACAGATATAAGGAAGAAAATTTTTACAATGAGGGTGCTGAAACACTGGAACAGGTTGTCCAGAGGGGTGGCAGATGCCTCATCTGTGGAAATATTCAAAGTCAAGTTGGATGAGGCTCTGGGCAATCTAATCTAGTTGAAGATGTCCTTTCTTATTGCAGGGACTAGACAGCCTTTAAAGGTCCCTTCCAACTCAAACTATTCTGTGGCTCTATGATCTGTTAGGACTGCCAAGGGCCTCCATGTTCTCTCTAGATCTGATCAATCTCCAGTGACAGTTTGCAGAGGGACAGTGGATAATAATTTTGTCTTTATAAATCATGTGGTACAGGCAAGATGGATGAACAAGTATGTAGGTGGATGTCTTCTCAAATGTACATCGCCCAGGACCACTCTCTGTCAGTAAGGGCAGCTGGGATGGAGTTTAGCCCGTGCCTGTTGCATTCAATTCTCTTAACTTCTAAAACAGGGTATCTACTGGGAAGCGGTCCTTGATTGCGCTAGCTGCCAAATCACTTGGAATAGCATTAGTCACTGCAGGCCAAACCCTCAGGCCAGGCACCATTCAACAAATGAGCAGTGTTGATGACCAAGGCTCAGCAGCCGGGGGAGTTCCTGCCACCATCTAACTAATAAATACAGCAGGAGGGGGAATTCTGCAAAATTCTAGCCTCAACTGTGCACCGGGCTAGGACGTTCTACATGTACGCAGGGCTTGTTCTTATCCCTTCCTTAGAGGTTAGTGCCTTTTCCTCTGTACCAACTCACTTGCTAACTTTGAGGATTAATTGGATCATTTCACTGGCCAGCACTGATCAAAATCAGCACGTGTGATGGCACACACTGAGAGGACTGTAAGCTGAAGTGTGCTGGTGCAGGTGAGGGCCTAAGCTGAGAGGCAAATTTCACAGGGTCAGCCAAATATTGTGCTTTTCTTAAAAGAAATCTTGACTGAATTACTGCCTATTTTCTGAATATGCAGAACTTGATCTATTCATCCAGCAAGTCACCTATCTGATTATTTATGAGAGATCCTGACATCTAGAATTAAAGAAAAAATATTATGTGATCACTTTTGAATTAATTTTGACTGATAACTTTTCTGAAGGGTTTTTTGTCACCAAGCATTACATTGTACAAATACTCTTGGTCATCTCAGATTATGTGGAAGTTTTGACTTTTGACTGTGGCAACTTTAAACCACCTTGACAAAGAAGGTGCTTCTTTTTATTTCAGTTTACAGCATAGCAGTCTGATCACAAAAGCTTCATTCTAGGGTCTTTTAGCCAGATTTGATCATGAACTGTAGAAAGGCATGTATTTCAAAACACAGCAGAAAATGTAATAGTGTTTTTGTCGTGTGTTTTAACAGTAAATGTTATTTATGATAACTGTCTGGAAAAATGTCATTTAATGGTCATAGGAATCTCTCAGCATTCTGCAGAGCTGTCATCCCTTTTAGGAAAAAGTAAGTTGAGACTGAGGTAGAAATCCCAGCCAAAAAAGCTCCCTTTGAAGATGGCTGTGGAGCAGTACCATCACTGTACCCCTTTGATTACACCCTCATGACGTGACCACATGGTCATTTGATTCCTTCAGAAAGCACAACTTAACTAATGCATTTCTCTGTATGCCACATGAGTTTTGATTGCTTATCCATTATATTTCATATGAGTGGGGAAGGGGAGGGACCTATTTGACAAGTAGAGCCACTTCATGGGGGCAATGACAAATCCAGCTTGAAAATGTCCAATATGATGTATGAATACATTTTTTTTCCTCAAGGACAACTCCCAGGCACAACAAGCCTGCTGAGGTTTGCTTTCACTCCTTAGCAGTGTCTTCTACAGATTTGCTTCTTTGTGCGACTGGTTTTTAAGGCCAGTTTTTCTCTTCCCATGCTCCTTGTGATACTGGAGCTACGGTAATTGATTCTAGCCAGGCCAACCTACATACCACCATCCCCACTGGAGGCAGTAGTGAATCCTTGTAGTTTTGCAAAACTTTGGTCCTTCTCCCTGTCTCTTCTTCCCATGGGTGAAGGAGAACTGGCACCACTGGCAACCAGGACTGGCAATGCAGTGTTGAAGAAGAAATCTTGCCTTTGCTCTTCAAGCACAGAGTAATGTAGTCAATTCGGGTACATCCTTTCTATCCAGCTAATGCAGAGCATCAAGATTTTCACACCTAAACAAATGAAAGAAGTTAGTCAGAAGTCATCTACAGGCTCATCTAACAGAAATTGGGTCCTAACTTTGCCCTAGTCTGGATTCAAGACAACACATAGGATAGAAACAGTTTAGATTCTAAGTCAGCCTAACCTAGGGAACCTCAGCTGGCAGCATTCCTCCTGCAACCGAGAAGCCAATTACTCAGCATCCTTATGTTGGCACAGCCTTGAAGTCTGTCATATGATATAACCCAGCATAGGAACAGTGTCAGGCTGTTCACAAGAGTCACAGAATGGCCACCCTTGTGTAGTTAAACCGGTTTCCATCAGTACCTTTTAAGCAGACAACCATTCCTCTCCTCTGTGAGTCTGTGCTGATACTGTCAGCAATGAGATGCTGTTACTCTAACTTAGGGAAGTAACAAGAGTCCTGGTTGCACCAAAATAGTATAAGCTGTTCCCTGCAAGATGCGTCATCTGTGTATTGGTGTGAAACTGCACCTCTGTCATTTGGCCCTATTTTTTTTTTTTTGCGTTCCCCCAAAAGCCAGTGCACTTTACAGCTTTATCCAGTTCCATATGTGGACACTACCAAACTGGACTTGTATGTCAGCAGTATGTCATTTACATAAAATTATTATAGTTCTCCACAACAGTATCGTTGCCATCAGCTTATTCCCAAGTCTTGAGCAGAGCAAATGGAGTTAGTTACAAGTGAGACCTATAATAGAAAGATGTTACAGTATTGTGTGAAGGGAAGAGCTCCAGGGACTTTCCTGTAGACTTTGGTTGAAATTACCAAACCACAACTGGCACAGTGGGTCAGCTACTTGCAGAGCTCCAGGGCTCCTGACAGATGAGAAGCTCTTGCTTCCTACCACACCCCACCATTTTCAGTTCCAGGACACTTCCTCCCTATTCTAACAGATGATGACCTGTTCCCCATTATACAAGCTTTTGTCAACTCTTGTCTAGACTAAAACAGTGCCATGTATAGGAGCAAGAAGTCATGAGCCTGTAGGAAATTCCAGCAAGTACAAGGCTGCAACATTCCTTCTTACCAGAACAGATTAGGACAAGTACCTTCTTAGTGTTTTCATACAATGTTGCGTCCAGCCCAAGTCTATTGTCTCCAATGCAGTGGTGTGGGTCCCAAATTAATTTCAAGTTCCTGTGCAAAGACTGTGATGACCAGCTTTGCTCCTCACTTGGAAGAGAACTTCTTATAGTGGCAAACCTCATCTTATGGGGAATGAACTCCCCTAGAGACTATGAACATTACAAGCCTGCATCTCTTGTGTCACGTCCAAGACCTCTGCTTTAACCCTCACTTTTTCTACTGTATATAAATAGCAGCATGTGCATTTAAAATGAAACTTCTGCCAAAACAAAGAAGTACACTGTAGGTGTGACTTGCAGCTTGGGGAAGGGATGGGAGAGAAAGCACATCACTCATGGCACAGTTGTCATGATGTTCAGTGCATGGATTTCAATAAAACACACTAAAGAGCACAGCCAGTGCTGTGCTCAAATACATGTAATGTTAAGGTATGGTGACAAAGTTTTTTTCACATGTGCTGCTGTATAATGTCAATGCAGGTGTGACCAAAAGGCACAAGAAAAGGTAACCACTTGCAATCTGAAAATCGTTTGGCAGAGGACGGAGAAACCATTCAGAGATGTTAAAACAGTTTTAGATTGTTACGTAAAAGGGGAGTGCTCTTTTCTCTTTTTAAAACCCTGGGTATCTGGTCCAGTTCTATGCAGGCTCCCAAAATACATCCTCATTTTATCGCTACTGTTAAAGGGGAAGGGATCAAGAGAATTGATCATAGAGTCATCAGGGCCTCGTTTTTGCTGAATTAATTTCTTGTGCTCAAAGCTGTGGTATCATGTTCTATAGGTGGCTGGGCTTTCAGTATGCAGCAAAGGAACACAGGTCAGTATAGTTTTTTGAAAGCAAGAAAAAAAAATACTTCCTGCTCCTTAATTTTGTGTTTATATTCTGGTCTCAAAACAAAAGTGTTGACTGAAGCTATGAATACAGCTGAAGATACTGTTCTTAGGATGGGGATTCCTCTGTACTGGTTACTTTAGTCAGCCAATTTGAAATAGATACATATATGTATATATATGTACGTGAGGGACAGAGCAAAAAAAACCATAAATCTTTGCATTTCAAGTACTACAAAGGCTTGAGCAAGCAAAATGACCCTCAAGAGATACTCCCTTCAAATAATCTTTGAACTACAACCAGCATGCAGAAGGATGTATTTCATAATATCAAATATAAACAGTGATATAAAAGGCAGATAGGAATGTGCAGAAGAGCAGCAGAAATGTTTTTTCTGACGTAGTTCTGTGCACAAATTGTTATGCTCTCAGCTGTACAACCTGTGCGCCACAACATAATAAAATATTTCATGACCAAGAGGGAATAGATTTTATAAGATCCCTTTTATACCTCCATTGAAAAGGAGGCCTTGACAGACAGAAGTAAACATTATCCCATCACTAAAGCAGTTTAGTAAAGCTTGGATTCTGTTGATGAAGAAGGATTAGCAGGCAATGTCATTACATGTCAGGCTCAGGTTTGCCAGTTTTACACCATTGTCACTCTACAGGGACAATCTCCTCCGGCACAGCAGGGGTTACCAGATTCCTTCAGTACTTAGCACAAAAAGAGCCTAAGACTAAAGAAACCAGTTGACGAATAAATGCCGTGGCAGTAAGATATTGAAGGTCAAATTCTGAGCCTAGTCTATAGCTCTATTGTATTTGGATATCAAAGCAGATAGCTGAAGTATGCATGAGTGTGCATTCATTCACTAGTAAGGGGTTACTGTAGTACATCTCCTGATCCTTTTTTTCTCCCCTGCTCAGTACTTTCACCGATGATGAGGTCCCCAGAAAGGTTACACTGATGTAGAATGATAAAGTCCCACTTAGATAATGATGACAAGTGTTTCTAAAGATCTCAGTTTCCATATGGGCTCATACATGAAACAATCCAAATTTTGCTGAGATCTTACCCAGAAGTGCTGGTTAAACCCAGCCTCTAAGAGTTGCTGAGCTCTGTGTACTAACATAAGGACTATTATAAGGGCCTGCTTAAAAAATCAGGGCAAGTTCCAGCTGTTTCAGACTATCAGAAGTTAGTGTAAGCACCTGTGACTAAAAGCTACATTGCATTGGCTTTGCAGGGTGACTGGTGCACCACTGATGAGGCAAGCATTGAAACTGGCCACAGCCCCAGCATTTTATCCTCTCTGTTTCAGAGGCATATGAACCAACTGCTTCTGGGGAAATGCCCAAGTAGCTTGTTCTTTTCCGAGCTACGACGAGTGTGGTTAAACCACACTGAGCTGAAAAGGTAAAAATTTCACAAGTCTGCAAAATGCTTTTCACTGTCACATGTAGAATTCACAACAGTATTTATGCTGGCTGAACAGACAAAATCTGATGTTGTGTGAGGTGATTATTTCTGTCCATGAACAGAACTTCCCAGGTCCGTATGCTTCAGGTATTTCTACTAGAGCTGAAAGCAAATGTCTTATATCTCTGTTAAACTGCAGAAGCTCCTTTGATAGCTCAGACTTGACTGTTTTTAACCAAACCTGCATATTGTGCCTAATAGACAACACCACCTCTCTATTTATTTAGGTATTTTTAATTTATTAGAAGCAGTCACCACCTTATTCGGTGCTTTATAATTAAAATACACAAAAGAACAGGATTAACTGGCAGAACACGAGCAGCTACCTACCCAACAAAAACAAACAGGGCAAAATACCACATTTAATAATACTACTAATAATGAAAAATTACTTTACATTTAACATGCACATTTTATTTCCCAACCTTTTATCAAAGGGTTAAGGGTTTTTAGCATAGACTAATAGTTAATAAATTTGGTTTCAGGAAACCGAAAAAGCTTTGTCGTACACACACTCAAATGATCTTCCTCTCTTTCAACCGAGCAGACAGTGAATGCTAACCCCTTTGTCATTAATGTGTTCATCCATTCCTTATTTGAAGTTCTTCCTAAATCCTTTGACTTCTCCCTGAAGGTGATAATCCACTCTTTAATTTAAGAGTCATGTCTTATTGCATTAATTTTTGCATGAGCAAGAAGAAAACTGAAGCAATCAACCAAACCTGTACAGAGTAACACTAACCACAGTAACTCTTGATTAAATCTCATTTTAAAAGTAGAATTTGGCCAAAAGAAAATTAACATTTCAACAATAATTAATCACAGCATTAAAAAACTCCAAACATTTGTCTTTTTATGTAATTCTAAGACTGTGCTCACCTGAAGTAAGAACTGTAAATGTGGCTTTGTTTTTTGACTGTTAAAATATGACATTGCTCTGACCATCGCTTGAACTCTTTTAACCCAGCTAAGGTGAAGATGTACAAGAAATAACACTACTGCCAATGGCTTCGGGTGTGTTTCACTCCAATTTTTCAGTGTTTCGACTGATCAGGGTAGCCCGCTGTTTGCAGGTTTTGCTCAGGAGAACCCTTACTGTATGTTCTTGTTAATTCCCAGCCAGGATTCAGCAGCCTGCATGAAAGGAGGTTTCATCTTGATATGGTTTTGTTGTATTATGCTGCTTGTATGCTAGGAACTGCTAATGAAAGAGGGCAGCTGAAGGAAGCCCCAAGATGAAATAGGAGAGAGGTGAGGGAAAAGTAATTTGGATGGCAACAGGTGGTTGAGGGTTTCAAGACTGGAAGATTCCTTCAGAAAAACTGGGGTGGATATGCCCCTTTACCATAGGCTCTAATTAAAATTGAAATGAAAGAACCCATGAGAGTAAGCCAAAGGTCAGAGAAGAAAGACTTATGAAGATTCACTTCTCTGGAGCAGCTGAGGCTCACCTGCCAGGTACTTCATGGTCCCTTAATTGTTCAGCTGCTGGAGTGACCCTATCCTGGCCAGTCTGCCTTCTGTGCCTCCACGCAATGGGGAAGAAAACAAGGGGATGCAGATGCATACCTCCAGCTCCCA